GCAGTTAATTGATCAGATAGGAAGATCATCAGGCTCTTATCACGAGCGTTGTGTTTGATCGTCAGCTTCATCAGCTCTGAACAGCTCTGTGCTTCTCCTCTGGAATCTGCCTGCGGAGTGTTTTTGTCTCTGAATGAATGATGATGACTGTGTTTGCCGTTTGAAGCCGTTATCGTTGGAGAACTGCAGGAAACGGGTAACTGGGAGATTTAAGAGTGGTGTAAAAAGCCATTTAGTGTTTCGTTCTAAAGGCTAGAGTTGGAATAATTTGTGTTTGTTGACATCTTGTCATGTTTTTTATAGTATCTGTTCGATATACCTACAGAAAGCTGTATATTCTCAGTTGTAAAGCATTCACATTTAAATGATTATTATTATTATGACATACTTTACAGTTCAGTAGTATTACGTAGTACGGAAGCCCGTTTCCAACACTGAATAAAAAATAAGAAAAGGTAATTGCAACTTTTTATCTTGCAATTCTGACTTTATTTCTCGCGATTGCGAGTTTATGTCATGCAATTCTGAGAAAAAAGTTAGAATTGCGATTTTGTATCACGCAAGTCTGAGAAAAAAAAAATCTGAATTGTGAGATCGTATCACGCAATTGCGAGAAAAATGTCAGAATTGTGAGATAAAAAGTCGCAATTACCTTTTTAATGTTTTATTCGGTGGCAGAAACGGGCTTTATTATTATAGAGACATTTCTTTATTGAATTGTTTAATTTTTATCATTTCATTAAATAATAATAATAAAATACTAATGACAAAAAGAATAAAAAAATGCAATCAGATTTGTTTCCCCAATTTGTTCTCAGTTTTTTAATGAAATAATGCACATACATTTTCATTGCAAAACACTGCTGCGTGTGAAGTATTTCCTTCAGCTAAACATCTAGTGATGATTTACACCTGTTTGTCTGGACTTACAGACCGTTCTGCTCATCTTCTGCTCATCTGGAAGCGGTTCCCATCCGTCTCCAGGTATCTTACTCCTATTATCCTGAGGAGATTATGAGCAGAAGCTGGAGTATCATCATAAACACATGAATGATGACAGTACACACAGTGAACAATGCCGTCTTTATGCGTCGGCTCTGAAGGGCCCCGGGCCCCAGATGTGTCATGGGTAAAGCAGATTCTGGGTGGCCACACATTTACTGTAATGCTTTTAATGGTTAAAAAGCTTTTAGAGGCGTCTCGGCATTTTACCGTATTTTTATCGCGCTGTTGTAAATACAGCTGGTCACGGATCCCACACGTGACAATAGACGCTTCATTTGTGGAGACGGACCGATGGATGTGAATGAGTGAAAACACGTCCCTCGTGACAGAACTTTAGGAGTTTAATGAAGACGAACCTGTTTCAACCTGACTTTCGTTCCCTGCTGTTCTTATTGTTTACGTCTGAGGAGTAAATCTGATGCTGCTTTGGAAGATTCTGATTGTTTGACTGTTATGATGACGAGGCTCTGTGATATAAGCCAAAGTTATATCACATTATTCTCAGTTTTGGTTAATAGCCCACCTAAAATTATGTTAATATTTAAATAATTTCTCAACACATTCACATGGTCCCATTCTCTGATGCAGTGTTATTTTATGTTTTTGTTAAAATTGTAATTAGATTTTGTTTTTATATTTTCTACTTTCATTTTAATTTTAGTTAAAGTTTTCATAATTGTGTTCTGGGTTTTTGTAATTTTTATTAGTTTTTGTCGTTTTTAAATATGTCGATATAGTTTTTGTTTTATTTCAATTTTAGTTATTTCAGTATGTAAAGTTAAACTAAATGAAAATGAGAAATGTTGCCTAGGAAGCTAGCTAAATAAAGGAAGCTAAATAAAATATGTTGAAGTTTTTTATTATATATATATATATATTTTTTTTTCAGTTAATGTTTATTTTATTTCAAACAATTTTTAAATTTTTTAAATTATTTTTAGTTTTGGTTAACTGTAATAACCCTGGTCTGAAGTCAGTTAATGGTCACATGATATGCTAAAAAGACAAAATATTTCATCTCTTTATAAGTGTTTTATTTTAAAATGAGATATATATATATATACATACATATACAGTGGGTACGGAAAGTATTCAGACCCCCTTCAATTTTTCACTCTTTGTTATATTGCA